CAAAACAAGGGAGTTCTTGTGATTATGACACACCATAGTGCTTAGATAACACCCAAAAGCTTTTTTTCCATGTCTTTAACGACTGTCCCACAGTGTGCGTCCAGGTGAGCTTCTGGTGGGAAAATGAAAGTTGATTTTTCAGTGATTCAAATAGTGATTAATATACTCTGAACTATGCTCTATTCGATGGTAAAAAAAATTTCCTGCGACCAATTTAAGCCGGGGAAAACATATGAACAAAAATTGCACTGAAAACCATGTTAAGCGATGGTGCCGCCGGTAAATCGGATTGCACGCAAAATGAATGTAAGCCATAAGACAAACAAACACATATTCAGAATCTGCATCCAGTCCGCTACCGATTGGGGAAAAAAAGGTTTCAATTTTGGGGCCGTCCAAGCCGAGCAAACCAAATAAAACAGCTCGTCGTGCTCATTCCGAGTATGTAAAAGTCTCGAGATTCGCTTCTCTAGAAAAAGCATCAAATTTTGATATGCTAGCATGTTGTCACAGTCAGACATTGCATCCAGGTCATTTTGAGCATTCATCAAATCTGTAAAATCGTGTATAGGGACAAGACGAAAAAGATTGTCGGCAACAAGTCCTGATGGTATTCACAATAGAGAGGTGTTACTTTAAATTAATAAGTTTCGGGAGATATTATGAGGTTTTTCTCCTGTCTGAAAGTCGAAAGATATATGGCATAGATGCCGTTTCTTGAGTTCTCTAAAAATGGTTTGTTTGTGCACATCTTTACACTTTGTGCAAATACCAATTGAAAACTGAAGTGACTGAATTTATTTTTCATATATGATACTTGATAGAAAAACTATGAAAGCCTGCCATTCTGGTTGTTTTATCAAGATTTGGCTGCATATTATTCTCTGAAGAAGATCTGGTTGAGTTTAACCTCTTACATAGCTTTTTAGAAAATTGCTTAGTCTTTAGATACATTATATCGATGCACAGTGTCCAAATCTCCTAATCTGACCTGGCGGCTCCCAATTTACACTTTTCTCCGATTAAAAATTCTCCTGATTTGAGAAACTGACTTTTAAGATTTTCTCCTGATTTTCAATTGTTTGTCGATTTAGAGCATTTTTGATGACTTAAGATGCGAGAAACACCTTTTTATCTTTTAATTCCTGAATTCTAAAAATAAGTTCAGCACCTTAATTTCTTTATTTTCTATCGGCCATATTGTTCATCTACACTTTTTTCTTATTTGTGGCAAAATTTTTACCAATCCTTCTTTTAGCCGGTATTATCGGCTATTATTTTCGGCTAAAAGGAGACAACGCAGTCAGTTTTTGCTAAAATTTAAGCGAGCAACGATATAAAGGGTGATACATCCTCTGTAAATTAACGTTATCTATATAAATACATATATAATTAGTTGGTTATAATATATCATTGTGTATATAAACATTAAAACTATACTCCAAAAAGAAAAGTTTTGAATAGCGTATATGTGGTGCAAAGTTATGGTCATTTTATTAATTTTAAAAAACATTTTTTATATTACATTTTTAAAAAAAATATATGTTCTTGTATAACAGTTGCAAAGAAGTTCATAAGTTTGTATTGGGTTGTAAGCAAAACGTATGTTCTTATGCTCCGAAGTGTTATCTTTCTTGTCGTACGTATATCAAACACTCGCTTTGAAAATGTTTTGAATGTTTGGCATAGTTTGAAACGAAAAATTTGACCTTTTCGCGTTAGCATAAAAAAGAAATAAAACAATTGGACTTTCTGTGCCAGAGAGTAACAGAAGAGCTATTTTTGCTTTAACATAAAAAAATTCCGCCCTCAAAATGTTGGATTTCGGCTGATTTATAAAGAATTTCTTAAGTACTCCAAAACTGCAGTTTAAAAATGATCATTTTTAGCGACATCGAAAAAAGAAAAAGAGTTCTCCCTCAACTGCTTGTGACTGTGAGATTTTTAAATATAGCCACTTAATAGAGCTGTTTAAAGGCTACAAAATAGCCATCTTCTCATCTTTGTTTCGTAAAACGTAAAGCAATGAAACTGAAAAAACTGATTTTTTGGTTGAAAGTTGACCAAGATTGCAGTACTTCATCTATATACTATTATTTTTGCTATATATAAAGAAATGTTCAATATATTTCTTGTTGAGAATTTTACGACACATCTTTCTGAAAAACAACAATGACTATGAGTTAAAAAGCAAAAAAGTTGTAGGCAATTTACAAAGAAGATCGAAACTTTTAGACCACTCTTTAGTTGCGATATTATGCAACGACAGGACCCTATCAGCTACACTCGTGCACTAAACTAACAGCTCATAGCAATTGAATTAAATTATGTGAATGATGAATTACTACGTAAGGCAATTTGTCGTATGCATATTTTGTATAATCTCTTGAGTAGAAAAAAGATAGAGGAAACAAAAAAATGAGAATTAGGTATCCATAATGTGTTTTCCAAATGACAAGAATATTTGTTCTAATGTACTTTGTGAAATAGAGTATGTTTCTATATTAAATTGTGTTTTGTTTTGCTCTAGAATTTCGAATAATTGTGCTGGAGTAGTGTTTGTTACTTGAAATACACCCGTTAAGAGCGTTGATTCTTTTAATACAGCATCTAAACGTAAGTGACGTTGAAAATAGAGTAGAATCTCATTGATTCCAGTACCATTATATATTGCATTTATTTTAATATCAATTGTATAACCTTTGCCAAATTTTGATTTTAAATGTTGAATATTACCAATACATGATAATTGACCATTAACCATAATTCCCAAACGATTACATAGTGTATCACATTCATCCATTGAATGAGATGTCAAAATAATTGTTAATTTTGATTTAACAGCATTTAAAAATACTTCACGCATTTGTCGTCGAGAGTAGGGATCAACACCTGTGGATGGTTCATCAAGTATAGCAACTTTTGGTGGTCCAATAAGAGCAAGTGCAGCATGAAGTCGTCTTTTTGTTCCACCACTCAATTCTTGAATGTAATTTTTAAGAAATGGTTCTAATAAAAATAATGATGCCATTTGTGATACAACATTGTTAATATGCTCGGATGGAATAGCTCGAATACGTGCTAATAAATAAAGACAATCTTGTACAGTTAAAAATTCCATATCACAGTTTTGTTGTGGACAATAACCGATAGAATCTGTAGTTTTTATACATTTTCGTGTATTCTGTTTATCGATGTAGGATGTGCCTAATGTTGGTGATTCTTCACCCACAATAATACGAAACGTTGTAGTTTTACCTATAAAGAGAAAAAATGAAGTAAAAGATATTGAAAATTTTTTTACATACCAGCCCCATTATATCCTAGAAATAAAGAAAATAAATGTATTAGTAATAAAATTTCGATGATTTTGATACACACCCAATAAACCAAAACATTCTCCTCGTTTAGCACCAAATGTTAGATGATTTACAGCAACAACATGTTTACGTGGATAATACTTAACAAGATCTTTGACAATTAAATGATCAATATCCTTCGATGATTCTGTTGTAATACTATTTCTGGTATTATTATTTGATTGATTAAATTTATCTTTAGCTAATATTCGTTGTCTCTCTGCTAAAACATCTTCATCAATAGATTTTGAATCAAATTCTTTGAACTGTTGAGATGAGAAACAGTTGCGAAATGAAAATTTGATTAATCCACTATCAATTGAAACAAGTAGAAAAAAAAGGACTAAACAATGTATAACAAATAAGAGTATATTTATCCATAAATAACCATCGCCTTCAAATGGTAATGTGAAAGTGCCTAGTCTTGCTACTCGACAAAACTGACTTCCATCCGATAGTATTCGTGTAACCAGAACTTGAGCATTAATACTAGGAAAGAGTGCATTCATTATCCAATATAATGAAAGATTGAGTGCTTCAATTTTAGATATCATTCGAGTTATACCACGAATTAAACTTAATATATGAATTATGACTAAACCAGCAAATATGGCAATGCCACCCTGAAAAGAAAACAGAATATAAATAAATGAGAGAGAGAAACTTTGGCACACAGTGGGCAACCACGTGCACATTAGGTGGAAAAACGAAACTGAGCTTCTTCAAGATTCGAATAGCAGGTCAAATACAGTGTTGGAAAAAATTATAGAATCACTGTATTTCTGAAATTTTTCGATGAAGCCGGGTGGTTAGGTCAAATCTGAATAGTGATTTGGATAACTGTCGAAGTTCTCTATCAAATGCAGTATGTGCCAAAATTCCTCAAAAAAGATTTTGAAGAGAGTTTTCTAGAAAATCGCTCCAGAGAAGCACTAAGTCCTGCAGAATTTTAGGGATGCAACGGTAACGGTTGACAACCGGTCAACCGTTCCCGGTCTAACCGGTTCTAACCAATTACCGTTACCGGTCCAACCGGTTCTGACCGGTTACCGTTACCGGTCTAACCGGTTCTGACCGATTACCGTTATGGATCTAACCGGTTAACTAACTGAATAGAGTGATAACGGGAATAAGAAAACAAAGTATAAAAAAAGAAAAGAAAATCGCTATTTGTGTCGCAGCTCTAATAGTCCATCTATTTTCTCTCTTGCTCGTGCTAGATATAATCTATTTTTAAACAAGCATTCACATGTGAGTTCTTAAGCTAGTTTGAGTTACACTGATTGTTCCATGTTAAAAAGTGTTTTTCTTCACCGTTATATTGATTAACAGAGAACTGTGATTAAAGACACATTTATTTTGTGTTTTGAATTATGTAGCAAATATTCCATTTGTTTTTCAAGTTTATTGCTACCGGTAACGGTAACCGGTAAGAACCGGTTGGACCGGTAACGGTAATCGGTAAGGTGCGGTTACCGTTACCGTTGCATCCCTACAGAATTTTGATAAAAATATTTTCGATATAGGCATCTATAAGAGCATAAAATTCTAAAAAAATGAAGGGTCGAACAGCTCACCATTATCTTTCGTTGCAAAGTTACAGGCATCAGAAGATCCAAAGAAATGTGCTTCTGCTTGGTTTTCAGACGAATTTTAGCGTTGTTTTCTTAAAACAGACTGTTTCTTTGGATTTTCTCATGCCTGTAACTTTGCAATGACAGGTTGTGGAGAGCTGTGCGACGCTTCATTTTTTGAGAATTTTACGCTCTTTTAGATGCCTATATTGAAAATATTTTTATTAAAATTCTCTAGGGCTAGATTTGACCTAGCTACTCGGCTTCATCGAAAAATTCCAAAGATCCAGTGGCTCCATAATATTTTCTAGCACTGTATTTAATTGGCACAGGATGTTTTATTCTAAACAGGCATGGACGAGTCGAAGTCTTTAACATTAAGGACCGAGTCCCGAGTCCCACGTCCATTTCGAGTCCGATAATCTTTTAGATTCTTTTTTGATGAGTGTGGTTTATTTCTCTTTTTTAATTTACGGAGCCCTGGATAGATATTTGCGTTTTAGAAAATAAGGTTACTTTGTATGTCCGTCTTCCGAACAAAATTTTCAATTTCTTTTGAAACAGAAGATGTTGTTATTTTGCTTTTCATTTTTCTCTGTTCATTTGTGTTAAAAGTTGAATAGATCGGACTCGAAATACAAAACCTCACGTTCGAATCCTTCAAAAAAAAATATCGAGTCCGAATTCGCCAAAAAATCTTTCAGTCCGGACTCGCCCATGCCTAATTCTAAGTACCATATTTAGTGAGAAAATCGTGAAGGGAATTTTTTGTCGAAAAACAAAGCGATGAAGATCGAAAAACAATTTTTAGCAAAATAGAATAGAATATTTATAAAAATCATACACCGTTTGAAACTATACATTTCTCTCTATCTATTAGAAAAAAAGTTTTTTTCTTTGGACGCTTCGAGACCGAAAAAATAATGTTTCTTTCTAGGCTAAGAGTTTCCCAAAGAGCAGTCCATGTGACGGTTTCAGCGTATTGACACAGCAATTTTGACTTGACAAATGGACATATTCTAGAAAAATGGTGCGAAAGTTTCTAAACATTCTTTTTATAGATTTTCGTATGCACTCTTTTCAATGGTGTGATGCTCAAACTTTCAGAGTACATTTGTACTGTTTTCCAGAGATCCAGTTCCTTGAAAACGAGTTCGAATATATTTTGAAAGTTTAAAAAATATCCCTCTAGAAAGAGCACATACGAAAATGTAAAAAAAAAGTGTTTAGAAACTTTCGTACCACTTTTCTAGCACATGTCCACGTGCCTAGCTAAAATTGCTCACTGTGTAGGTAGCATTAATACTTACAAGTATATCGCTTTTAAATACTTTTGTCATCAGATATACAAATGGTAATGTTGGAATTGAAATAAGAAGTGTGAGTGGATAAAACTTTTTTCGCATTATAAATGGATCTTCAAACTGAAGTGTTTGTAATTGTTGATCTTGACTATCATCTTTAAATATAGCATTGAATATTACATAGACAATTAACAAATAACAAAACCATAGTGTGCACATAAGAATATCGAACAAATAATTAAATAACCAATAGACTATTGGATGTAAACCGCTGATATATATTAGTGATAAAAACTGATCTTTTCGTTCACTGATAAGAAATGTAGTTGTATATAAATAAATCAAATAATATACACATAAATCTAGAAATAATGTAATTGGAATAAATTGAATGAAACATGATAGAATATTAAAAAAATCTAATATATTTGATATTGTTAAATCGTCTGAAGTAAAATTTGCTCCTTTCTTGTAAACAAGTGTTGTTTCAATTGATGCTTGAGTATCATTTATCAAATATCTATAAAATGTATTTGTAGCAAGAGTAAGAATTTCATAACCACCAATTAAATTTGACGATAATGCTTGCATTTTAAAGGTAGATGGTAACGATCCAGTAGGAACTTTAACGGCTACATAATAATCTGTATAAGTATAAGGTTTTTTCTCACGCATTTCTAAAATAAACACAAAATTGTATTATTCGCCGAATCCTTATTGTCGAACGTCTTTTATATCTTATAAAAGAATCATCGAACATCGCCCAATGCATCTCAGTTCGATGTACATAGTCAGTTAATGTATTTGAATTTTTTCACTTTTATTTGGGAGTAGAAAAGGTCTATCAATTTAGCAATATGGAATCTTTTGAATCAATGATGGTTTGTACAATACAATTTACTTCTTTATTACTTGCAGATCTTTCATTCTCCTTTGATCAGCGCTCGGAACATCGGGAAGATGTGAATTACTTTTCCTTACAAGTTAGACTAATAGCTATTCATATAATTTCAATAGGACTTTCATTCATTTATCATGATTATTTGCTATCAGAAACCGTCAACCGACGTTTCAGCGACCGACATTTGAGCGGCCCCGACATTACAGTACTGGAAAAAATTATAAAGCCACTGTATTTTCGAAAATTTTCGATGAAGCCGAATAGCCAGATCAAATCTGAACAGTGATTTGGATAGCCCTTGAAGTTCTCTATCAAATATAGTATATGTTAAAATTTCAGACAAAAGGTTTTGAAGAAAGTTTTCTAGAAAACCGCTCCAGAGGAGCTCTAAGCGCTAGAGAATTTTAATAAAAATATTTTCAATATAGACATCTAAAAGAGCGTAAAATTCTCAAAAAAATGAAGCGTCCACGAACACAGCTCTCCACGAACTTTATTGCAAAGCTACAGGCATGAGAAAATCCAAAGAAATAGTCTATTTTACGAAAACAACGCTAAAATTCGCCTGAAAACCAAACAGAAGCACATTTCTTTGGATTTTCTGATGCCTGTAACTTTGCAATGACAGGTTGTGGAGAGCTGTGCAACGCTTCATTTTTTTGGGAATTTTAAGCACCGTTAGATGGTTATATTGAAAATATTTTTATCAAAATTCTGTAGGACTTAGAGCTCCGCTGGAGCAATTTTCTAGAAAACTCTCTTCAAAACCTTTTTACTGGAATTTTGGCACATACTGCATTTGTTAGAGAACTTCAAGGGCTATCCACTCTTCAGATTTGATGTGGCTACTCGGCTTCATCGAAGAATTTCAAAAATACAGTGATTCTGTAATTTTTTCCAGTACTGTAGACACTTTTCAATATGACTCTTTGCGATCAGGAAAATGGAATGATTGCTCACTTCGATAACGATTAATAACGATGATGATAACAATTACTTTGTCATTCGATTATGGACTGAATTATCTGGAGATCCTTAAAGGGCGAGGGTGGGCAGCTATAAGAGATGCGCTTCGCTCAATTGTTGGAATCGCTCAAGCATTGGTTAATCTTCAGAAACATGACATCATTGAACTGAAGATTATTTTAACTACCTAATGAATGACTAGAATGGCATATAATTGATTTTACATGTAACAAGTCATCAATGATTACATTTAGTTAATCGAATGACTATCACGAGATTTCGGAAGCAGCATTTATCTCTGAAACGCTGATTTTGAAAGCACACTGCTTACATTTCTAGTTATTAAAAGAGTTATTCTGAAAATAACTCTTTTGAATCCTCGGTATAAACCGAACTTCGGTATTTTCGGTATTCGGTGTACCGATACCAGTGCATGCCTAATAATGGATGCATAATAGTAAAGTAATATCACACTTTATTGTCGAATAATAATGTCCTAATACCTTAGTCGAACTCAACCTTGTGCATATGTTGACTTTGAAAATTGTGCATTTTTCTTACGATTAGAGCTTTCTACGGGATTGGATGTGCTTTCAGCATACAGAACGCTTGGAATTGAAAAATACTCTGAATACTTTTTCTTCTAGCCATGAGAAAAAAATGTTGATACAAAATAAGATATAAGATGATAAGATGAATTTTAAAAAACGTAGAACGAATCAAAAAATCTTGTTCTTATTTCAACCTGCTTTTTATCTACAATAACAATGAAACTACTTTGCTGTTTTTTTCTCTACTGCATAGTGGTGTCCTATATAGACTTTTACGTTTATAATCTTGTGTCCCACTACATTGCTGACATTTTGTAATATCAGCCGTTTCTTTTGTGTACAAAGACACCAAACATATTTTTCTTTCTGATTGTAGATTTACAGTCTCTACATGAAAAGAGCCCTACATACATATTCATACTTTTTCTACATGATTGTTAGAATGTGAAAACAATAAAATATATTTTTACTTACTTTGTATTTCTTCATTCATATCTTCAATTGTCAATGATCGTTGATCAAATTTTGTTTTTGCTCCACCAAGTGCTTTCAATGCATTTAAATATTTTGAATCATTATCATCAACACTAATCATCATTGTTTGTGGTTGTAACAAATTTGGATTCATTTTAATTAGACCCGCTTGTTTAGTTTTTCTACCATCTAATCCAAAATATAATTGATAAATGATGGGTAATAATAGAATAATTAATGTTAAAACCCAACGTCTATATCGAACACGAATTGTTTTCACTAATAAACCCATTATTTGACTAAGATAATATCTAATAAATCCTATGTTTGTATTAGATTTGTTTTTATTATATTTAAATACTTGTCGACATTGATCATTAATTGTTTCAACATCAACTGTTGTTACTTTATCATTTAATGTTGAATCAGTATTTTCTTGAGTGATTTTAAAAAAGACATCATCCATTGTACTATTTTGTAATCCATAATCTAGTATTTGATTATCTAATTTCATTTGATCAAGTTGTTTTAAAGCATCAATAAATTGACTATTGGGTTGTTCATTCGAACGAAAAACTAATTCTGCTGGTGTTTCTGATTCAATTGTTATTTGAGATAAATAACGTTTTAGTATTTGTTTAATTTCATCCGATGTTCGTCTCACATTTGGACGTTTAGTAATAATAAATTTATAACCAGAACCAAACATTTCTTTTAATTTCATTGTCGTTCCTTCGGCTTTAAGTTTACCATCGGCCAATATGATAATACGATCGGATAAAGCATCTACAACGAAAATCAAATAATATATTATAATTTGAAATAAGAAAAAATTTTACCGCTCTCCTCCATGAAATGAGTGGTGAGTAAGAGTGTTTTTCCCTCTTTCATTCGACGAATCCAATCCCATAGATTTCGACGATTCGATGGATCTAAACCACTACTAGGCTAAAAAAGAAAATATTTCTAACAATTCAAAGAAATAAATTTCGTGTATATTAGACCTCATCTAATAGGACAATTTTAGTATCACCCACAAATGCACAAGCAATTGAGAGTCGACGCTTCATTCCTCCGGATAATGCTCCACAATACGTATCTTTTGACTGTTCTAAATTCACCAATTTTAATAAGTTTGCCGATACATGTTTTTTTGTTTGGCCATAACCTAATAATAATAATAATGCAAGATATGAAAATTTCAGAAATATAATTAGTTTTTTTTCCATTCTTATATTTTATGATTACTGAAGAAGTTTTGATGATTAACATGAGTAGCTGAACAGTACTCTTTATCGATCTGTTCAAGCCTACTAGCTAAAAAGCCTAAGTCCGTAACAATTTGGGAAATTCATAGCTCTTCAGCTGAGCAATGTACAGAGTTGGAGAAAATTTTATCCTGTAGCTTAAAGATTTTTCTTTCAAATGGTAATTAAGCAAAGTCTAGTTATAACTAGGAGTGCATCGGTTATTTTTTCGTATTTTTCAAAAATTCACAATAAATGTTTTGTATTTTCATAAAAACGATTTGCAACATTTTTCTAAAACGGCAGTTTTGTAGAGAAAACATTTCTCTAC